AAATTGTACTTAATTATCAAAACTGTTTGTACACACCTAAAAGATTCAACCACTAATTAATAATATGTCCAAACTTTAATTAAGATATGTGGATGATTTTAGATTGTAAAATTGGAATACCCCCCAACCAGGCCACATCCAAACTTTTTTTTATCCTTTAACCAAGTTATAAGAAAATCAATTTTTGCGACAAAAAAAAATCTATAACAAAATCACACACTATGAATTATCTGTAAAATTGCGATGATCACGCTGACTTTAAAGGTCTATAGGAGATATAGAGGCGTGCTTTAGGCATAGTTTCAGGTCTTATCATAAATAGAATGTAGAAGAAAAAGTCATTTAATATGAACCAACGAATTCAAAGTAAAAGAATGGGTGCATTTTAATCACTAATAGCGACATTATCTCTTCAAAGTATTTAAGGGGTTTGTGTCATTTTCATGAAAGTGGTTGTCCAAAGGACTTATCTTTGGGTTTTGTTATCAAAGTCGGTTGCTTTAAGTTGGCCAAATTCACAGATTTCTCTTCAACTTGTTGAATACGATATAAAAGCGCGTAATTTACTCAAACAAACATGCACAATAAATATTTGACACGTTGAATTGAACAAAATTGTTAAAAAATACTAATATTAAAAAGAATGTATGGGTTGTCATATTCAATTTGTCATTGCTGTTTATTTCAGCATATCAAATACGCGTCAAAATAAAATACATATGAATGTGCCATTTGCCTAACTATATTTTTCAAATGTATTCTCCTAATTAAGACGGAAAGAAGAACACAAGGGATACGTCTCTTCAATCGACCCTTATTCTTGGCTTTTCATGCTATTTGACTTCATCCATATGACCAAGAGAACGCTTATATTTACACGGTCAATGAATAAAAAATGATATGCATCTAAGTCTAGATTTTTTTACCAATTAATTTCGCAAAGGGGAAAACTTACAATTTATTTTCCCCTTTTTTATTCTTCTAAAGTTGTTAAATTATATTTTAAAAAATGTATCTTTTATTAAGTAACTAGTTTTATCTATATTGACTTGAATGATAATGGAGCTCATGGATATAAGTTATTCCTTCGAGTGAGATAATTCCGAATCCATTTTGTCTTCGAACAATGATGCTATAAGTAATATAACTACGAATCTCATGAAAAGTATGATCCTGATTCGAAATGAACGCTGAATACATGTTTAATACATGCAAGTTGGACAGTGTTTGCAATCGCACTTTTTAATAAATATTTATATTATGAGATTCAAAGTTGATGAGAATGAATGATTTTGCGAACTTTTATTAGATTTCTAGCCAATAAAATCTTCTCTCTCTCCCCCTTTGAGGGAAAAAAAAAAAAGAGGCAATATGGTGTTAGAAATATTTTCTTTTGGGAAAATTTGATCTTAATTCCACTTTATTTGTAAAAATGGGCCCTTCTGACAGATAATTCCCACACTAATATGGCATCATGCTAAGGGCAAAACCATACATGTCACATGGGAAGTCCCGCTCTCCACCTAGTTCACTTTCTTTATAGCACCAAAAATTAAAAATTAAAAAAAAATGAAAGGAGGAATAAAATAAAAATAAAAATAAAAATAAAACACAACAACAAAAACTAAAACTAAAACTAAAACTAAAATAAAGAACTAATAAAGCCAATTCCAACATCTCATTCACATTTGCTTGCAAGATATGATTATCCTTCCTTTATTGTTCCTTAAATGAATTGGATTTGCATAGCATCTTGTTATTCTTTTAAATATCGTACGCTTTCTTTCTCGTCCACACATAATTGAGTAATAGTTAAAAAGACATATATCCCGAGTCGTTAAATGCAAAAGAATAACCTACATACGCATCTATGCGAAATTTAAGAACAAATTCTCCATCTTGGTCAAAATGACATACTCATCTCGAACACGAATCAACTTCCTTTGTTGTTTCTTTTTCCCTAAATGAATTGATTTTGCAGCGTAGCTTGTCATTCTTCTAAACATTGCACGTTTTCTGTCTCGTCCAAATATAATTAATAACATATATTCGAAATTGCTAAACATAAGAGAATAACCTATGTACATATCTCAAACTAAAAATGCGAAACTTAAGTACAAATTATCTCTCTCAATGAAAATGACATACTCAACTTGCACCCTATAAAACATTGTAATGTAAGTTTGTTATGAGTTGGAATTAGCTTTCTCACAATCCAATAATGCTTCACATGTCCACATGTCTTTAGACAAGTGGTTGACACGTGGAGGGGTTTTATTGGAAGAATGATGCCTCGATGAATGTGGTGAACAAGTATTAGTGCATGCCAGAATCCTTGTGTTTTGTTATTCTATTTTTAACACTAATTATATACATTTATACGTACTCCAAACCCGATCATGTGTGCACGTGCACGTGCACGTGCCCGTGTTTAAAATTTTCTCAAGAGAAAAGGGATAAAAAAGGGAAACAATTTTTATTTTACTTATTAAACAATACATACGAGTAGTTGCAGATATACCGTTTCAATAATCAAAGGCAAATTTGGTATGTCTTTTGAAAATGAAAATCTGCTTATTAGACTAAGAAACTGATTTTGAAATTGTTTGGATATTTTTCCGGAAGTGATTCGTCTGATTATGAGAGTTTTGATAGAATAGCTTCATCGAGAGACTCGTTTGCACGGAGAAGAAGCTAAAGGAAAAACTCTGTCGAAAGAATCCTAAATAAGCGGAGTCATTCTTTAGCAAGTTGGTTTTCTTGATTAATATAGGTTAAGTAGTGATAATAATACCGCATGACATTAATTTAATCAAAAGTAGAATTAAAAAGATTAATTTTAATTTCCTAATTATGCCTAAATGGGAAATAAAGCCGGCACAGGCGGAAATTCTAACACCTGTAATCCTACTTAATTAATTTTTCGATTAAAAGACACTGCCCTTAATTAATTATTTGATATTAGTATAAAAAAATAAAGGTTTTGACAGAGATTAGATTATAAAATTAATAATTATTAATTAAAATAAAAGATTAGGTGCTTTAGGCGACACTGTTTATGATTATTGTTCCCACATGTGCCGGAAAAGTGAAATCCACCACCGCACGTGTGAGCTGGCTAGAAATCGAAATGGGTTATTTTAAAAAGTATATATATTTATATTTTTAAATATTAAGTCAATAGAATAATTAAAATTTGCTTAGATTAGATGTTATCTTTTTTATTAGGCAGCGCCTAATACTACAAAAAAAGTTGATTAGATCAAGGTCACCTTTTGTGATTGACCCAACTAATGGCGCAAAGTTTCATTTGTTAATGATTTAAAATTAAGAATAAGAATTGAAAAGGCCAAAATAATTATAAAAAAAAAAAAAAGTTTACCTTTTGGGGAAAAAAAAATGAAAATTTTCATCAATGTTACACATATACTTAGGTTTAATTTTTTGTATGGCAACAATAATTTCAATAAAAAAAAAATGCAACTTTTTTTGTACTCCAATACATAAAAACCATGTTAGCTTGACGCGAGAAGGGAAATTTCAAAGATCAATTTGTAATTTATGAAAATGTTGGATTATTTTTGTTCTAGTATTTTTTATATAATGTAAATATGGGCGTAAGCCTAGAGGGTATAAATTTATAATGATTACAATTTAATCATACACTAAAATTATTCTCATTTTAAGTGTGACATTCCTTGATTTCGGGTGATTATAGTTGATCTGTAAAGAAATAAATTTCAAATTGATTATAAATGGAATAAATAACCAATATATAAGAGATTGAGTTATTCATCTTAGTAAGGTTAGTATGTCAACGAATAACTTGAGATAATGCTTACATTTCACATGTTGTTTTAGAAAAATACTTGGTGGACTTAGAAATAAATGGTTTGATTTTCAATTGTATTTATTTAATTCTTCAATTGACCCCCAGTATCTTGTTGCAAACTCTAACTACCATTACCAATATACATTACCATCACCATCATCATCGATTTGCACCACAAATATTAAAGATCAATGCTATTTGTCATCATGATCACTATATATAGCAATACAATTGCATTAAATAATAAATTTAGTTAAATGTAGGGACATGAGATCCATGTTATGGGATATATCATTCAATGTCATTTGAACATGAAGATCTATTATCATGACGATAAATAGTGTTACTTAATTAGAAACTAAACATTATTGATGCATTTTGAAACCCCCTGATTGCTCGGCCATATCACTGATCTACTCTATCCATTGTCAAAATACATATTCACGGTGGGTGGTTTTGCTGGTTTGTGCTTATTGGGATTGGATTCGGATTCGGATTCAGATTCGGATTTGGGTTTCGTGGCTTTTATTGATTTTAGGCTAAAATTTTGTGGTGTATGAAATTATAGCATTGGTAGATTGTGGAAATTGAACATAAAGTAAAACAATGTTACTCTTATAAAATGTTGATTTTAACTAAAATTTACATAGTCGTCTAGAGAATCCTGAACAATTTTTTACGTTAATAATATTAGTAGTAATAACTAACAGTAATTTAAATAGAGTGAAATAATCTATACTTAGATACAAAATTGACGGATGATTGGCATAGTAAGGAAATAGATAATAACTAAATCAATTATAATTCTTTTTTTCTTTACTGAATTCTCCATTTTTATTATTATTACGAATAATTTTTCATTCCCCTTCACTTCGCCGCATCCACATGTCTTTCAAACTAAATTGACATTTTTAATTCCTATTTATTGACTTCACGAGAATTTCACTTTGGAAATGTATATAGAGCAGATACTGCCAGAAAATAATTTATATATAATACAAAAATAATAAACAGGTGCGTTTAAATTAAATAAAGAAATAAAAAGGAATTTTGACTCATTTTTGTGCTAATAATTCTTTATGGTAAAAATAAAAAAAAATAAAAAATATATATATATATATATATACACACACACACACACACACACACACAAGGCAGGTGGGGTGGTGGTTTGATTGGGGATGTGTGGGTTGGGGTTGATAAAGGGGGTCCTCAAAGAGTATGCCCCAAAGCCTAAGCCAAAACCCAAAGCCTGAGCTTTGATTTGCCGAGAGAATCCAAAGGATTTCTCTTAACAATAACAAGAACTCGAGCTTCAGACTCTCTCTTTCCTTCACAATACACACACATATACATATACAAATTCAGGAAGAAGCATATACACCAAAGCATTTACATACATGTATACATACAAATAGAGAGAGGGAGAAGAAAAAGGGATTGTTCCATTCAAGAAATTTCAGTCAGGTCCTCCTCTTCTTGCTTCTTATCCAATATGTGAGTCTCCTCTATTGCTAATTTTATCGTTTATGTATTATTTCTCTTTGTCATTTTTTGTTTAAGTTAGTTTATCTGCTTTGTTACTTATTTTTATGATGCTTAGCTGTGATGAAGTTTGTTCTTAAACAGCATTAATAGGTTCAATCTCAATTCTTATTTAATGCTATTGGAAAAACAATGCAAGACTGTATTTTTATTTTTTTAACCTTAATTTTTTGTATATTAAAGAATTTGGTTGCAGGTTGTATTTGATCTGAATTTTTGAGATCCGGGTTTTTTGTGGAGTTTGCATGATTCATTTGATCAGAAGTTTTAATTTTTGTGGGTTTTATGAATCTGGCTGCTGTCATTATTGATGAATTATGTAGTTTAAGAAGTCTTTTTGAACTGTTGAGTTGTAGAATATGCTGAAAGATTGTTTTTGAAATTGTTAAACGATCTAGTTTTGCCTATTGTTATTGAATTCGGATCTGTGAGTTTTATTGGTGTAACGTTCATTTTTTCCAAATACCGGGAACTTGCTATATTGATTCATTGGCCTTTTTGATTGAAAATTTACTTTGAATACTGATAGTTATGAAGACACTGAATCTAGATAGACTTTTTTCCATTTTTTCTGTTTGATAAATCGATAAATCCTTTGCTTTGCATTGCGATTTTCTCTATTTTAACATTTTTTTTCGGGGTTTCCAGGCATATGGTTACCTATTTTTAGCAGTGAATTGCGGCCATCTGAAAAAGAGAGTGGGATATAGATTGGATTTATTCGAAAAAAGAGGTGCTTCCTTTGGTGCCATAAGGAACATGTTGGAAGATAGAGCTTGTTTGGTATCAAGGGACTATCGGAGGACTTGTGAGCAAGAAAATAAGTGGCATTTCATGAGTTACCAGCTTGAAAATTTTGAATTACAACAAGGTAAGCGACCATTAGAAACAAAGGGAGAGGAAGCTGTCATCAGAAAGGTGTCTCAGAAATCTGGGTGTCAATTGAATACTGCCTTATCAATCGGTGGAATTCTAATGCCTCCTGGTGACAATTCTGATAATCAGCAACATTCAGGGGATAATTCTGATTCCAGTTCCCTGATTCCTGCTATTGGCCGTGATAACTCAATTAGTTGTCTCATTCGGTGCTCCAGAGCTGATTATGGCGCTATTGCAGCTTTGAACAAGAGTTTTCACTCACTCATTAGAGGTGGTGAGCTGTACAGATTAAGGAGGAAAAAAGGTGTGGTTGAGCATTGGGTATATTTTTCCTGCCAGTTGCTCGAATGGGAAGCCTTTGACCCTACTCGCCGTCGATGGATGCATTTACCTCTAATTGATCCTCGAATGGATCCTAATAATTGTTTTGTGTTTTCCGATAAGGAATCTTTGGCAGTTGGCACTGAGCTTCTCGTTTTCGGAAGGGATCTTATGTCTCATGTGATATATAAATACAGTTTGCTGACGAACACTTGGTCTTCAGGAATGAGTATGAATGCACCTAGGTGTTTGTTTGGATCTGCCAGCCTCGGGGAGATTGCAATATTAGCCGGTGGTTGCAATTCAAGTGGTAATATCCTCAGTTCTGCAGAGCTCTATAATTCTGAGGAAGGAACTTGGAAAACACTGGAGAAAATGAAAAAACCAAGGAAGATGTGTTCTGCAGTGTTCATGGATGGAAAATTTTACGTAATTGGAGGAATTGGAGGAACTGATTCGACGCTTCTCACATGTGGAGAGGAATATAATTTGGAAACAGAGACTTGGACTGAAATCTCTAACATGTCCCCGGTGAGGACTGGTGAAGCAAGGGAAAATGACACACCTGTTACAGCTGAAGCTCCACCTTTGATTGCTGTTGTAAATAACGAATTGTATGCTGCTGATTATGCAGACATGGAGGTGAGAAAATACAACAAGATCAGTAAGGAATGGGTTACTGTAGGAAGCTTACCAGAAAGAGCCAATTCTATGAATGGTTGGGGTTTGGCATTTAGAGCATGTGGCGATAGGCTTATTGTAATTGGAGGGCGTAGAACTTTTGGTGGTGGATATATTGAAGTCAATTCTTGGGTTCCAAGTGAAGGTCCACCACAGTGGGTTTTGCTTGGTCGAAAGCAATCTGGCAATTTTGTTTATAATTGTGCCGTGATGGGATGCTGAAGATTTATATTGTGGTGGCATCAAGTGTACTGCCTTGTGCTGATGGATACAAAATTGTTTTCAGGATGCACTGAAATTCCTACTAAAGGTTAATTTGTTTGAGGATAGGAAGAATTATCTGGCTTTACTCAAGATTCAATTGAATGTTTTCTTTGAGATATTCTCGAGTACTATTTTTTAAAACTAAAGTGATCTTCAGTTCAAGGAACATGACAAGAGAAAGAGTTCCAATAATAATTTAAGAGATAGGTTGGTAGGTTTCCATTAGCGTATTCTGAAGATTTACCTAAAACATCATAGATTTTTGTGTTTTTGTTTCATAATTCTCAATTTCTTTGCATATTGTCTTGAAGGCAGAAAATAAGTCTCGACATAGGAACACCGCATTTGTAATGATCACAATTATTCTCTCAATTGATGGACTATAAAATTCTGTTTTTCTTTAGTTATTCTTCGTAGATATGTAGCAGCTTTCTACTATATTCTTTATTATGGAGTTTCTGTTTTTTGCTAAATTTGAATTGTCTTAATTTCTGGCAAATTTTTACTAATATTCACTTTTTGATAGTCAAATGATTTAAGGCTTTTGTATCTATTTCATTTACCTGTCACATCAATGTAGCATTTCATGGAGTGTCTATAAGAGGATAGCTGATGCTTCATTTATAATGTTGGATAAATTTATTTTCTTAAATATAGTTTATGTAAATGTGAAAGATTCAGGATAAATGCACATTTATGATTTATCCTTATACAGTACCGGCAATGGTGAATTCTCTATTTCTTTATTTGGGCGACTTTTGTTCTGAATGTATTTCATTTGACAAAGATTATTCATTTCACTTGCACTGCTCATGAAGCTTTTCCTGCTGAACAGATTTGTGTGTGAATTGCGAATGTAGAAATTGATTGTCCTATAACTTCATATGTATCTGCGTAAAGTGGCTGTTTGGTTAAAGGTGTTTAATGAGGTATGATGTGCTCGTTTCCATTCTCATTGAGTGGCTGCTGCAACATTAGTATCTTGGACAACATTATCAACTGATGAAGAACTACTGGATTTTGGTGAGAGATTCTTTTTATTTGTTTGTATATTTCATCTTCAGTAAACCTTGAATTGGCTAATGGTTGCTATGCTATATGTTCAGGATTCAGGAATGAGATTCGGAAAGCAACTATATCAATTTTATGAAATAGACTTGGCCAGTTTCACTGGAAAAACCAGGAACCAGTCAATCAGCAGATATTGAGCAAGAAACTGGAAGAGATCATTGACAACTATCATATCTTTAAGGCCTCCAGTTTGTCAGCAAGAGTCGAACTCGGCCAAGATGTCAAAATGTGTTAGGTTGTCACTGACTCATGTCATCGTGCAGCTTTGGCACGATCTGAGCATAGCCGACCACTCCAACTCCAGAGGCCATTGAGCCATGAGGCCACCCAGCTGCCTGGCGGGGCTTTTTAGTTTTTTTATGAAAATAAATATATATTTTGAAAGGCTAAAATATTGAGCTATGCTATTCAAGATTAAAGACTTGCCTCGACTCTACAATTGCATAGTCCAAGCCCCAAGAAAATATATGTGGTTACATATTTATATTTTCGGGCAATTTCAAAATTATATTGAAAAACAAACTATTTCTAAAGCTACTACAAAACCTTTTTTGTTTGGAAAATATTATTGTTTTTACAAAAATACTGTTTAACTTTTCAAAATTTTTTGCTACACTTTTTTATAATAGCTGTTACAAAAATATAACACGTGTGATACTGTATATTACACTTTTTTATAAGATGGGTAACAAATACGCTATATTTTTATAACACGCATAATACATAATATTTAGATTACACATAAAACACGCTTTGTTTAGCTTCATTGTCCATTTTCATCATCATTAATGTCATCCCATTACCACCAATACGCATTATCACACCATCAAAAATCACCACAAAATATGCCATCATTGAAATCACCACGATCAACGCCACCCAATCCCACCAACATTGCAGACCATCGGCCTCGCCACCACACCATCACCACCAACACATTTCACCACCACCACCTTTACCACCAACCGCCATAAATCAATCATTATTAAAAAAATAAAGTAAAATAAAATAAAAATATTCACAAACATTAAAAAAAATGAAAAATACAACAATTTAAAAATATTTATATTTGTGTTAGTTGGATATTATTTGTGTTAATTGGATGGCCTTGACGGTTAATAATGAGGTTATGTTTAGAAATGTGTTAATTTATAACTTTTGGCTAGATGGTGCTATTTAGTGCTTACTATGACGAAAAAATGTTTATTCAATGATATCATATTATTGAGCAAAGAGCATCGTTCAATTGTCGTTTAGGTTCGAAAATTTTTGTATAGAAGAGTGAATTACTTAAGTTGGTGTAACTAGATTGAAAAAATGTCTTACGAGTTTATTTTAAACTTCAATCACTTAAACATATATGTGAGAATAGTTCTGGTGCAATTGAATTTATAAGAGTGAGTAACTGGATATATGTTGATCACTTTCATGATATATAAAATTGACGACGAGATTGAAAATAGGAATTGATCATTTGTTAGTGGTTTGAGCCCAACTACTCCTCCTAATAAAAGGTTAAGGGAAAAAGTTGTCACGATTTGAAGCTATCCTTTAAAAGATCCCGAAGGGGACAACAGAAAAAAAAAATCCCCAAAAAAAAAAAAACAAACAAAAAACAAAGAAGAAGAAGTTTGAAATAGGTATAAAAAATTGTGCATAAATCAGAAGACGCATGTAACCTGACTAAGTCTCGGACACTAAATATGGAGATGTGGATAACCAATGAGTTTGACTTGTTAAGTGTGAACTTGAAGGATGGGACTCCCCCTCCCAAAAAAAAAAAAAAAAAAAACCAAACCCGAAAGTAAAGTAAAAAGTGAATTGAGAATAACCTTCAAAAACAATCCCCCTGGAGATTGTGTGTATCTCATGAATGTGAAAGGGAGTGAATTGTCCAAATGGTCACTAAAACTTTGTAAAAAGTTTTCAAGTTGTCACTGAATTTTAAGAATTACATAAATGGTCACTAAACTTTGCAAAATGTTTCTAAGGGATCACTGTACTTTAAAAATCACCTAAATGACCACTGAACTTTGCAAAAGATTTTCATGAGGTCACTGAATTTTAAAAATCACCTAAATGGTCACTAAACATTGCAAAAAGTTTTCACAAGATCATTGAACTTTCAACACTGGGAAACCTTTTACAAAATTTAGTGAATATTTAGGTGATTTTTAAAATTCAATGACCCTGTAGAAACCTTTTGTAAAGTTCAGTAACCATTTGGACAATTCACTTTGTGAAAGGATAAAATTTGACATTGATGGTCGAGGGTTGAACCAACTTGATTTTTTTCTCTTTGTATAAAATCTCGACTATATCTAGGAGATGATTAAATTTGACTATTAACACACACCAATCGAGCATCGGATAAGTTGGAAAATTATTTTAGCGGCATTGTTTGGAAGCTTATTGTGAATTGGTTTTTGAAGTTTTAAACATTAGACAAATACGGCAACCTATCATCGAAGTGAATCTTTGTTTTCACGTGCTTTTGTGTCAGAATATTTGCGTAGATGATTTTGCTTGAGTCCAGCAAAAGTTTAAGTACGACGTTTGATAAGCACATTTTACACGTTCTATAGGCTCTTAAACTTGCATAATATCGTCGGATCCCTGAGGCCGACTTCCGTCCCTGCTCGACGAGTGAGTCTTGCAGTCAAGCTCCCTCCTGCCTTTGCACTCGAGGGCCAATCTCCATCCGGCCCGAGTGGATTCTATTTAATTTAGAGCACGTCTTACTTTTATAGGTTAAACCCTAACTTAGAGGTGAATGGAGCATAAAGGAAGAGAACTGGACCTTAATTGGATCTAAAATGATAAAATTGAAAATCTGTTGGGAAGTTTGGACTTGATCGGAAGCTTTGAAAGTGTTAACTAGATGGATTCACGAGTTCTGTGGGGCCATATTCGACATTTCATTAGAGGTAATTAAATTCATATTATAGTGTCAATTGACATCAACAGAGGCTATGCAAGATTTGACAAATACGGGTAATTAATCATTGATTCATGTATCACAATATTGGATTCACAATCCTAGTGATTTACATGATTTAAATTTACTTTAAAAAATTTCGTGCGCATTCAACGTAGTTAATTTAGTTAGTAATTTAGAAAATCAATCTTTAAAATTATCAACATAATTGTGTGTTCCCATTCATTTAGAGTTAATAGTGATTAAAGTGAAGTCATTAATCAATTTTCATAAGGCAGTATTCACTTGTCATTATATAATTTGTTAATGATCATTCTCTTGCGGGATAAAATTGACAACTATATACATGGATTTTATGTGGGCCATCCGTCTCTAGAGATGGATAGTTTGAACTTTTAAATCGAGATTACGGGTTTCAACTATCAAACTGAGGAGAAGATAGATCATTTTAATGTGTGTGTGTGTGTTTGTGTGTGTATATATATATAATCACAAAATAAATCTTGCCCGTAATCTTGATTTAAAAGGCAAGATTTATCTTGGAAGACAAGTTGCTGTAAGGCAGTGAAGAGGCTCCCTTTGGGGAAGGAGTAAAAGCCGTGTGGGAACCTGGGAACCAACAATGGCACATCCCGCGATTTACCTCCCTGAGCTGCGGAGGGGCTGAAGGTTCAGGGACGAGGATATAGTCTGGCGCAAGCTGGGACACCTCATTAAAAAAAAAAAAAAAAAAAAGTTTCATCCACAAGAAGACATTCATGTTTTGTTTTCATAATTAAGTGGGCCATAGGCCCATATATAACAACCTTAAAGTGTACAGACCAGCTGGTAGTGAGAATGAAATTTCTGTCCTATGATAAAGCGTCTCATTTGTCAAATGTCATATTCGACGTTGTAGAGAAAAGAAAATTTGCTAGTTATGACGAGTGTTTCCAAAAAATTTATGTGCATGGGCCCAACACGTAGAATAAAATTGTTGTGGAAACTTTTTCTAGAAGGGTGCACTTGACTCGTGAACATCGTTTTATTGGAGTTAATAGGTGAAAGCACATAACCGATTTACGAGCTAATGAAGATTTTATTCATAATTGAATAATACTCGATGTTTTGTGTTGCACAAATTCTAAAATTGTTGTTTAATTGCAAATATTGAAGTCGGGTCATTTTTTACAGAAAAAATTGAGTTATTATCCTATGTTAATAACAAGTGTAAATATCGATATGATATCGAAGAGTTATTGCTTACAGATGCTACACTACAGTAACAAGTCGGATTAAAAAAAAAAAAAGTGGGGTAACCCTACCCTACCACTATTTGTTTTTGTTTTTTGTACTTGCAAATTAACCAAGAAATGTACTACTGAAACATATTGTGAGGAGATTATTGATCCAATA